ATCCAATTTTTCGAAATAATTAATGCTTTTAATTATCTCATATCACACTTTGCAGTGTTTCTAATTGTTTTCTTCTTGTATGACGTTTGATTTTGAATAATCTCGGTACTTCACGGCCTTTAATTAATTCTAACACGCCCTACAGAAGTAGCTGCCGAAAAATAATATCGTGATGAAATGATCAGGTTCGAAAAATTTTAACCGTATGGACTGGGACCTAAATCTTTAACTTATCTATAAGCGCATTAGCGGTAATTTCACCAAAAGTAAACGTACTATGAAATCCTGTAAAATTCAGGAACAAGTGTTAATTGGTATTCATTAATGCGTTTCTTTTTTAAGCTTTCGCTTTATTTATATATTTAAAACTGAAACAGACAAAATACGTCAGCTCCAAAACGCTAATGCATCCCCTCTGTGGTATTTCAACTAGCCTTGAGACAATTTTGAATGTGAGGAGAAATAAACATTTTCAAATAGGTTTCACTTCCGGAATGTTTTTTCTCCACATGAAGTTATACTGAGATTACGTACCTGAGCAATTTTTAGTTTACATTGTTCGCTTTCATTAAATGAAGGTGTAAGTTATTAAAAGATTCCTGTTTGGCTTTCAGTAATTATCCACATTGTTTTTGCGATTTGAATAAAGCCGCGGTTTGAAATATTTTTATTCAACTTTGAATAGCATTAATTTCTCAATAAAAGGTGAAAAACGCGCTTTTTATGAGAAAAGGACTGAACAAAAAATAGCGACATGTAAAAATAAATTCTACGTCTTTCGATTTGCATTTTTTTCTTGATTACTGACCATTATCTACCTTCCTCTAGAGTCTTTTCCGTCCCTAGGCGGGCAAATTTATCATGTTAACATATTAAGCTGAACCTTAACTTTCAAATCATCTCTCGGCAAACTTTGCTTTCCTCTCATTTCGAATTTTGAAATACGTCAACTTATGTATCGCTGCCGTTCTAAGCAAACCTATAAAAAACTGTTTCCTCGTCATGCGCGTCCTCAGATGAAAAATATAAATGAAATCAATGTGCAATCTAGCTCGGCGATCTTATTTGACTGAGTTTCAAATTGAATGAAAACTGCGAGCGGCTTTTGTGGAATTGATCTCTATTCGACGCCTCAAAACTTGTTTACTCTGCGATACAGTTATGAACGGACTGGCAAATATTACATCGAAAAAAACCTGAATTGCCAAAAAATAACAAAAGTTGAATTTACATACCTTTGAGATCTCGACTGATCGTGAATGAAAGCTCAGGGCAGAACTTGAATGAGGATGCGTCTCATGTAATTGCTTTCTTGAATTATTCTGTGACTGAGTAATATGCCGTCAAACTCAAAGATTCTGGCAAGGAATGAAAACTCGTTCCCTTAACTGTGACAATGAAATGATTGACTGCAGTGCTGAAACATCATTTCCGTCAGCATCTTTACGTCAGCATGTCATGTCTTCTGCTTTAAGGCATAGTTTGAATTCATACCCACTCTTCTCGCCACACGCGGTTCGGTTGGTGAATAGGCGCGATAAAGAGCAATTTCTTCTCTCAGAATCTTTCTCTCAGCTCTAAACTGTAGCGATTGACGTACAAGTTCATTGTTTGAAAATTATTGTTAATGATTCAAAAATCAAATACGCGTCTCTTTGAGCTGATAGCCGCGTCAGTGTTAATGTGAAGACAATTCAATATATTGTTCGCATTCAAATGTTGTTTCCTTAGAACAGCTGCTCGACCAATCGTACTTACACTGTACTTGGAGGTGAAACAACCAGAAATACATCAAACACTTCGGCCCCTTTGCTCTTCGAGGGAAGGTCTCAGTGATTTCATTGTCTCACAGAGATAAATTAGCAGGCACTCGTAAAAGCCGTCATGCAATTGTTTCGATTATTTAACAAAGGATAAAACTTCAACTGCCTGACGACAAAAGGACCAGCATTTGCATAATAGCAGGATCTTGTCTAAAAAGAAAGGAAGCTGGCGGATTACATGTGCTGAAAGCAAAGAAATAACGTACATAACCCACCTCATTAAACGACAAGAAACTGTCCCATGTCGTTTAATTGTCCCATGAAACAGCAGGCTGAAAAAAGAATCTGATCATCCAAAAATTTCGAGGAGAGGTGTAAAATGCCTAGCTCACAGCGTATAGCAATATAACCCGGAGGTTATCAGCGCCTCACCAGCGCACTGTGTTTAAATCTTTTCAGGTTTCAAGATTTGCATTTTGTGGTGAGGATTAAGTCGTTGCGAATTCGAATGTCCAATATCATATTTATCTCATCTGTCTTTAGCAAAGAGGACACCTTCAACTCGACAACAAATACATTTCTCTCTCCTTGTTTCGTTATTTTTCTGTTATGTTAGTTTTATAAAATTCCCTTTTGTTAAAAAAAATAGATATATTTATGAAGGATGACGATATTTAGACTTTGTTCTTATTTCAATGGGAAGCTTCGTGCACGAAAACGGAGGGCCTCGCTTCCGACAACCGTTTCTTTATCTCTTCATAAACAAGCATCTGGTATGTTTGCAAATACTTCTTTCATCCAGCTAATATTAGCGTAGGACGCTTTTTCCTTCTAGAACAGTCGGACGACAAGCATGAATCATCTAGGAGTTCTTACCATAAATAACCAGGATCTATGTGAAACAATGGGAGTACGGAACCGATTAGAATCGCATCATATAGGGCGTGCATGACTGAAATGTTAAGACAGGACCGACGTCTTTTCCGCAATTTCCGTTTACATTTTTAACTTGCATAAAAAGATTCATTTTGGATACCGAACTGGACCTCCGTATTTTTCCTCATTATTTAACCGACGGTCGAAGCAGCTTATTGATGTAAAACATAAGGTAGAAGTAAAAAATGTAAGACGCCGTGACGAGTAGAAAAAAAAGCGCACAGAACTTCGAATTCAAGTGCAATACTTCGGCACTAAGGGACGAAGGGTATACATCCAGTCTATATTTATCCCCTCCTTAATATGGAGATAGTTTTTCGTAGGAATGGATTGAAAATCCAATCAACGAAAGCCAGCTCTGAGGGCAGGTGTCGTGTTGGCCAATCACAAAGCAGGTTTGCAATAAGTGGGCCTTTTCTTCATTGCAGACGGACGAATGAGCGAGTGAGAGAAAATCGGCTAGTTTTTAGGAAGAGTAAATTCAAGTGACGAGGGAGAGAGAAGTCATTTTTTTTCGGTCCAACGACGTAACTGCGTGGCGCAGACTAGTTTGCTTTAAGTCAGACATACATTGAATTATACCGAGTTTTACTACTCTAATATATTCTTTAGTTGGACCGTTGAAAAGATATCCCGTCGGTCCCTTATATATCATTACTGCGAAGATCGCTTTCACATTCATGAGATATATCTATTGCTCCCAAGTTTGATTACCAGAGAAATCAGCCAGGGACGAGATAGGTAACCAGCATTTCTTTTTGTTATATATTTATTTACAAGTTGACAGAGGCCTTTCAACGGCACCACGGTTTGCCCAATAATTTGATGGACGACAGCCTCATGTGTCACAGGAAATTTTTTTTGTTTGTTTTTCTCGCACGGAGGCAGGAAGTTGTTTGTGGTTTTCAATTTCTGTGTCATCCTGTCTCTGTTTATAAACAAGCTGATCGCCCTTATGCGTGCCATCCTTTTGTCACAATCGCCAGTGAATTAGATGAGTATTTATTGGTAATACTGGCCAGGGAGAGCCGCTTACCGTTTCAGTTCGTACAGTGCCGCTCAACAACTCAGTTTCATTGTTGTGCAGTATGTTTCGTTTCCTTAGCTTTCTGGAAGATTACTGAGTAGTTTAAATCTTCTATAAATAAAATTTGCATATAGTGACAATGCGTACGTCAAATTCTTAAATTAGAGAAGTAAAAAGGCCGGGGGCAGTTTTTAGTGAAAACTATAACTAGTTTTATGCATATTCGGATGCCTTTATGAAAGACTTATACAAAACCTAATATATTCGCAAGGGGTATCCAGATATCAGAGTTTCATAAACGCACGGCTGGAAAGCTGTAATTGAAAAAATAACGAAGAAATGAGTAAATGAAAATAAAGAGAATTCTCCTTCGCCTTGTGGTTAGTGTGCTTGATATACATATTTGAGATCAGACGTATCTCCTATTAACTATTTAACTCCCACAAGTGATTAACATGTATCTTCTCCCTATAATATCCATACATTATCCAGCAAACAGATAATGAGAATATTCAAACTTATTAGAAAATTCTGGTAACTAATTTTCAATTAATTGTATAGCAGCTGGAGGGGAGAATTAACAATCACACCAGGGGCCAGGAGTTCATTCAATTGAAATTTCCTGTCACCCCTTGAAGTAATTCATACATCTTGGTTTGAAAGCTCCGTTCTGGTTCCGGGCCATGGATGAGATGACTCATTGGATTGTAGTCGTGGACGAAAAAAACTTTATTTTTACCTTGGCTTAAAATGGACACAAGCGACTTGTAAGAAGACTTGATTATGTTGATAACATGATGCAACCGTGCGATGGAGAGGCATCTCAACCAGAAAGGAAGGAATATTTGTGATCAGCTGCTATTGGTTCCTATTTGAACAAGTGTCACAGTTAATGTTGTTATTTTTTTAACACCCCATCCCTGAAAAACGTAACATTTACAGTCTCGGAACATGTGGGTTATTAAAACAGGTAACTTTCTTGTCCTTTTCCAGGTTGAGTAATTCAATTATGATTGTTACTGGAGCACCCGTAAGGCTTAGAGAAGCCATCCACATGAGACATCATCCGGATAACATCATCACATACAGTGGAATCGAAAATACCCGAGCATGCAAGTCTACCATCAAAAAGCACATGCGCCAGTCAGTAACTGAAGTGGAGCAATGTAAGAATGAACATCAGCCGGTCGGATTGATGATGGGGAACGAAAGAAATCAAACACACCAGTGGCAACCAGAATCATCATGTTCCAGGTAGTTTATAGGTGTTAAAAAATTGAAAGCTTCACAGTGCAACTGAAGGTGACTCATCAAACAAACGACTAATCAAAAATTTAGCATTTATCATCTGGTCATGCAAGACGAGCAGATATATCATACAATTTTCGGCTGATTTCACTGTCTCTTTTAATGTTTTGGAGCTCCAAGTCCAGAGTTTTCAAAGCGCTAAGGTGCCAATGAAGAAACAGGAAGATATATAGTCGAACCACCCCTTTTCAACGGGTAGTTCCGAACGTTTCACCTCGACTATCATGAAACCTTTCTAGAATGACCATCAAACTCCAACTCTGTCTCAATGTGGCCGTAGTGATTGGCCTGACGCAAGGGGTGATTGCACACTAGGTAGACTTATTGCAATCGCCGAAAAGAAAACCTCAAAATCTGTTGTTTCTTTTTCTTTTAACAGAATGGTTACAGTTCAGTTACTTCGCGTACTTTAGATTTAGCGCGCAGGCTGGAATAATGTGAAGTTGCACTGATCTTTCTTCTTCTCCAACGAAGCAAAATGTTTTCAAACTCCCTTTGCATCGCTCGATTCATAACCCCATAAATTATCGGGTTGATCCAAGCAGAGATGCAAGAAAACAGCATGGGCATCGACTGTAAGTAGGAAGGAACCGATATCTTCAAGCCAAACTCGACAGCCTTCATGGCAATCCCGGGCATCCAAGAGACACAAAATCCGAATACGGCGACGAAAAGAACCCGAGAGGTTTTTATTTCCTGTGCTCGTGATACGCCTTGGTTGTTTCCTTCATGTATGAAAGGAACGACCGCATTTTTGTGTCGCCAGATGACACGGTAGACACCGCAATAACCAAATAACACGAACAACATCGATAGAGAAGTGCATATTCCAAAACCTATGTAGACCACCTTCGTAGTATTTTCATCGGGGAAGGTCACTCTGCAGTGCAGGGCGTTTGGCTGCCATTCGAAAGTAGCTTGCAATGCAACAATGAACACGAGATAGAAAATAAACATGAAAATCCACACGAAACAAATCGAAATCATAGTTTTCTTTTTAGAGAAGAAGAACGAGTAATGTTGTGGTTTTACAACGCAAACATATCGATTAATTGCTGTAAGAGCCAAGATACTGAGGGACACAAAAACCCAGTAATTTGTAAGAAAACCAGTAAACTGGCAAAATTCGTGACTAAAGGGCCATTTGCGTAAACCAGAAGCTGCGGTCACAGAGGGAAACACAAAAACTGCCACCATGAGATCTACCACCGCCAGGGACAAAACGTAGAAATTAGTGATAGTTCGTAGACTCTTGTTTCTGTAGAAAGCCAGACAAATCAAGACGTTTCCAGCCAGAGATAGGACCATCATGATGGTAAAAAAAGCTGTGTGTAGAACGACAGCTCGCAGCCCTCTCGAATCTTGTTCTTCGCTTTCTACCATTGTAATGCTGAAGCAAAGAGCTAAAATCCTTTTAATTGATATTTTTTCCCTTGATATATGAAGCAAGGAAAGTATGAGGTATCGAGGTCTTTTCTCAACAGTCTTAGTCCTTTCTACGGCTCTTTCTTGGAACGTTTTGTATCAACTAATAGCTGACTGTGTATACCCCATTTTTCTGTTGGTGCAAAGTAACTCCTAGTGACGCACAAATATTGAACTAAAAGAAAATATAGTTGGTACAATAGTTTCCCTTCAGCCAATGGGAAGCAAGAATTATTGCAAAGGGAAAAGAAAGCTGACAAGGCATTGGGATATAGAGCTGTCAACGCTTCCCTCAGAAACATTTTCCTTCATTTTTATATCATTATTTACTTTGCGGCACGTACTAGCAGCAAGGCTAAAGAGGTGTAACTGCAGAATAACTGTTGTTTTCAAATAAAAACTGACACATTAATTACCTTCCTCAAAGGGCATGTTTACTTTTGTGACGGCTATTTCTTAGAAAGACAAATACAAATTTTGTTATCCGGAAAAAGGAAAATTAAACCTCTTTTTGACTTTATGTCGCTCTGAAGACTCATTGGGGGAGGATTTTGCAATCTCTGATCTCCATACATCTGCCCTGCCTGGAGTGTAATCAATCCAATAAATCATAAAGAGTTTTTGATAGGTTCGTTCCTAATAACTCGCCACCTTTCTGCTCCCTGCTGTCTGTTTCTGAATCCTATTGGGTAAATGGACATTTCAAAATTACATAGATCAACTTTAAATTATTTATAAATGTTTGTCTCTTACAGAGACATGGTTAAATAAATGATAAACTCGTTACAAGTATAAAACTTGGATTTATGCCCTCCATAACACGGTGAAATAACAAGCAAAACCATGTTAAAAAAAAAAAAAAAAACGGAAAAAAGAAAAAAAAAAGCTCAGTGCTTTGCCCAAGTAAATAAAATGGTTCAAAACAAAGATTAAAGAAGCTTGCTCGCCGTCATGTTACACACAGTTCTGCTGGGCATCATTTTTGTTTTGTCTTCGTTTGGAAACTTGCTGGTATGTCTGGCTTTTTACAAAAACAGACGATTGCGATCAATCACTAATTTTTACGTTTTGTCTCTGGCAGTGGCTGATTTAACGGTAGCCATCTTTGTGTTTCCTTCTGTTATCGCGGCTTCTGGATTACGGAAATGGCCATTCAGTGACGGATCCTGTCAGTTTTCTGGTTTTGTTACAAGTTACTTGTTTATGGTATCACTTTGCATTCTAGCTCTGACATCGATTAATCGATATTTTTGCGTTGTGAAACCACAACGATACTCTTACTTCTTCAATCGAAAGAAAACTATACTATCCATTTTTTACGTCTGGATTGTTATGTTTATTTTCTATCTAACTTTCTACTTTGCTATGCAAACTCATTTCAAATAGTACCTTAATACCCTCTACTACAACTGGCCCCTCTATAAGTTTTGTGATATTTGCCTGTCTATCAATGCTGATGGTGTTATTCGGGTATATTAGAGTCTACAGCGTCGTTTGGCAGCACAACAACGTTGTAGTACTTTTCGTACAAGAAACAAATATCCAAGGTGTACCGCGTGCGCGGGAAATAAAAACCTCTCGAGTTCTTCTTGTTACCGTAATTGGATTTTGCGTTTCTTGGATACCCAATATTGTCGTGACAAGTGTGGAGTTTGGTTTTGGAATGATAATTCCTTTTGGTTTTCAATCAACGCCAATGGTTTTTGCTTGTGTTTCTGCCTGGATTAATCCGATAATTTATGGTGTCATGAATCGGGCGATGCCAAGGGAGTTTCAAAACATTTTGCTCTGCGGTAAAGATGGAAGGATAAGTTGACAAATACGTGGTGCCAGCTTTTTCGTAAGAGCTAACGATAACAGAAGAACTTTAAATGAAAATGTTCTAACAGTTACTTCACTGTAAAGGAATGGATTGCGTGAGGCACAAGATCGATCCTATCTTCAAGTTTAGCTCAACAGATTTATTTTTCTGTTGTCCTAGCTCTATAGCCTTAATTATTGTGTGTGCCGTGTTTCCTTGTAAATTAATTTCTAATTTTTTCTGATAAGGGGGTTGTCTCTTCAAAATCGCCCAGTTATGATAGGGCTTTGCGTACTAGCTTTTAGTTATTTGGCGATATTTCTGCTTTGTGAAGTAACAGGTAAAAGGAACATCAAGTTGTTGCTCTAGTCAAGTGCCAAATCCTGCTGGAGCAAATCCCACGTTCTATGGCTTGAAGCAACTAGTATTTTTTCTACTCCACCTGAATGGGATGTCGCCAGGTTTCCATGAGAGCCCTCCAGTACTCATTTACACTCTATGGTGAAAAGGGGCACTGTGAGAGCAAAGCGTCTTGCCCCAAAACACAACACTATGAAGAGGAGAAGCTTCGAACCCAGACCTTACGACCCAGAGTCTATCGAACTAACCTTATGGCCTCTTCATTCCAGATGGTATCCTAATGCCCCCAAAGGACGAAATCACATGTTTCCGTATTTCTGAAACGTGGCGGAAACATGCAACTCCATGTTTCCGTTATGTTTAACATGCACAAAAAGTGGTCCGGTTCCGTTGTATACGCAGCAACGGAAACGCAAGAAAACGTCACGAAACCGGTAACGGAAACACAGGTTATCCGTCGTGTTTCCAGAACGGTTTAACATGTTTCTGCCACGTTTCCGTTTACGGATTCTTGCAATTTCGTCCTGTGCCCGTACTGCAAAATTACCTTTGAGGAAGACAATACTTAAACTGGTGCCTTTATAAGTTTTTTTTTGAACGGCAGTAACTCCTTCTTAACTCCTTCTTCGTCTCAATTTAACCCTAACAAACGCTCAGTCTATCAAATTTTCCTTAAGTCTGATTAAAATTTCAATAACGCTCCATGGGTGGTTTTTCTATTTGCATAGATCATTTAGATGACCTAACCCTTGATATGACATGTAACCTAGCCTTTGTAGGAACACGAGGCGCGACCTTGAAATGAAACAGCAGGGACACGCATTACCACTCGATCTTTCATATTTATCTCAGTTCTAGGCACCTAATCGTGGTGGTAATGATGACCGTGGCAGCTGTGGTGACCTTGATATGCAAATGGCGCTTCTGGTGGGGTAAAGGATGCAATAAATTGGTACTGTAATAAGGACCACAGTGTAAACAATCAGGAAAACAGTAGTTATTATATCAATAAAATTGTTTCTGCAAAAATTATACCCATCCGTAGTTTCTTGTTTCCATCTACGGTGCATCCATTTTTCTTGGTCAGCAACTGCTGTAACTCAAGGGTTTCCTTCAATGCGTTCTTCGTTTCTTTCTTTATTTTGATTTTTGATTTTTTTCTCTATTTTTTAAATATTTTTTACCCAGCGTCCCCAGGTGATTTTTTCGATCTCGTGCTTTTCTCTTTCCTTCCGGCGCCCATTTCATCTTTATGCTGATTGCATCCGTCGTTCTCTGATTAAATTTTAAAAAATTTAGATTCAACTGCTTCGCCTACTGTTTGTTTTTTCGAACAAATATCAGTATGCCTAAAGGCTAATAATAATGGTTAAAATGGTGAAAAGGTATCGGCTGCTCCAAATTCTCGTTAATGAAAAATCGCATTAGAATGGCCAATTATTTCATTTATTTTTAACGACGTAGATGATTCCTTCTGACAAGAGATCTTCTTCGTCTCAAAAGGATCATGATTCAGCCAACAGAAGATACGATACACTTGCAAACGTCGATGATTTTCATAGCACTGTTAGCTCTGAACGTAGTTTTTACAGTCCTAAGAAATGCGCTTATTTGTTTGGCTTTTTACCGAAACAGGAGATTACGGAAATTGACAAATATCTACGTGCTGTCCCTCGCTATAGGCGATATAACAAGCATTTCCCTTAATTTGCCTGTTGGCTGTATTTCTGCAGGCTTCGAAGAATGGCCGTTCAATTTCCACTTTTGCTAATTTCTTGGCTTTGTTGTTTCCTTTTGGGCTAAAATTTCTGTGAACATATTGGCGTTAACAGCAGTTAATCGTTTCTTTTGCATAGTCAAACCTCACCTGTTTTCAGTTCTTTTCTCAAGAAGGAAAACTATTTTATCACTTATTTTCGTCGTTTCACTAACTTTCTTGGCTTTCTTAGCAGCTACACTTGCCATACCTATATTGTTCGAATGGAACCAATTTTACCTATTGTGTTCGCCATCAGGAAATGAACTTAACAACAAATTCTCCTCTTTTATTACTGGCCTTCTGGCCTTAACCATGTTCTCGATTTTTCTCTGCTATGGGGCAGTTTATCACGCGATTAGACGCCACAATTCTGTCGTCATTCCTTCTCTATAAGAGGCAGGAGGTCCTGGAAATGAACCTGTTAGTCGTCATGAAATTCACGCATCATGGACTCTTTTAGCTGCCGTCGTAGGATTTTGCATTTTCTGGATCCCACCAGCAACCGTTGCGGTGCTTATCTAGTTTGAACTAATTTTATGCACACTGAGATGCAACTTGGATCAAAACAGTTCAGTCTTTGAGTTAATGGCTTGTTCTGTCAAAGCTTCGACAGATGGTTTCAGAATCGGTTTAACATGCAGATGAGCTGTGAAAGACGCTATGACACCGATTCAATTCAGGTAAGAAATTAGTTTCAAACTGATAACAGCTTGTGGCACGATCATCACTCAAATAGCCTGAATATGTTCCTTATTGGTCGAAAGAGTACTATATTGCCAATATTTCTGGGAAAGAAAAACTATTGCTCCCAAAGAGACACATCTTCAATCGAAAGCGACGGGAACGGGATCTTGGTAATCAAAACATTGAGTATAACATGTCCACGAGAGAGCGAAAACGGCTACTCACAGTTAAAAACCTTTTTTACACTTGTATCTTTAGTTATAGCTTGTTGTAACCAGCTGTCTAACCTTTGGTGTCGCTGAAGAATGGAGGAGGATACACGAAGCTTGACAATTGTCGTCACGCATACAGTTTTTTGCAGCCTTTCGACACTTTTGGCACTAGCTGGAAACTTGCTCGTTTTTCTCGCTCTCTACAGAAACAGGAGATTACGAACTATTACTAACCTTTACGTGATGTCTCTGGCAGTGGCTGATGTGATTGCAGCGACCTTTCTTTCTCCTTTTAGAGCAATCGCCTCTGGCTCACGTAGGTGGCCATTCGGTTACAATTTTGCCCAGTTTTCAGGTTTCATTCGACTCGTCTGGGTTGGGGTGTCAGTTTGTTCCCATGTGCTAACAGCTGTAAATCGATATTTTTGTGTTGTAAAGCCACAAAGGTACTCCATCTTCTTCAGTAGAAAGAAAGCGATTCTATCAATTATTTTAGTTTGGCTAGTAATGTGTGTTATTTCATTAACCGGTGCTCTTGGCTTACAATTTATTTACCTGTGGAATCCAAACAGCATCAGCCTAAACGGCATTTTAAAAAGTGATAAAAAGATTGGAAAGACTGTTAATATCGTTTTCTTATGCTTCGGCTCGCTATCAATTTCGATGGTAGTATATGGTTATGGAGGCGTCTATCGAGTCATACTACAACACAATAATGCTGTCGCCCCTTCTCTTCAAGGAGCCAGTAACTCAGGTGCAGTGTCGGCACAGGAAATAAAATCCTGTCGAGTTCTGTTTGCCACCGTGTTTGGATTCTGCACCACCTGGTTTCCTTGGATTCCTTTGATAATTTTAGAACGTGGTTTTAACATTTCCATTCCATCCGTTGCTTTATCGATTCCAGCGTTGTCAACTTCCATCTCTACGTGGATCAATCCGGTGATCTATGGTGTGATGAATCGAGCAATGCGAAAGGAGTTTCAAAACATACTTCTATGTCGGAATTGAGGGTGGCTGAGAAAATCCATCCGATGACACCGCTGTAGTGTAAATGACCACTTGGTAGAGAGAAACTGAAGCGAGGGCAGCATTAGATTAAAAAACGGAGGAAGTACTAATGGTGTCAGCCCTGCTAAATTGTTTTCAATGGCAAGTTAATGTTTTCCCTGCCCAAATGATTTCCTTGAAATTTTTATTTGCCCAAACTAGATCAAACTCTCCGTCAGATCAAATGCTTCACCAAATATCTCGTGTCAGTTTAAGAAATTTCTAGGATTTTTTCATAAAGATGGCTAGAAAATTTAGCAAGCGAAGGTTGCTTGATGCAAGCTGGTACGAATATCAATTGCTAGTTCGGTCACTTATAAAAAAATTTCGAGACCAAACTCCGTAAATTTTTTGGGATGTTTTTTAAAGCAAAGCAAGCCATAAGTATTGATCCTATTTTTCCGCTTTTAAGGACCATTGGATTTAATTATTAAAATAAATGACACAACCACCTTGAAGCTGCACCTCTTTAACTTGCGTGGAAAGTTGATATCAAGTTTTGTCTTGAGCAGTGAAACACCTAGAACAGTGATCAGTAGGTTAATTCTGTTATGGCATTCTTTTTGCACCCGGTACTTTTTGAGTTATTTTTTTTATAATAAAAAAATAACAACTATGTTAGCGTAAAGAGAGCGGTTTGTTGCTCGCACCAATCAGATCGTTTAGGGTATGTATCTCGCATCAATCATGTGGCCGTATTAGGGTATGTATCTCGCACCAATCATGTGGCCGTATTAGGGTATGTATCTCGCACCAATCAGAGCGTAGTTTTTGCTCCACGGTTGGAGAGGTGTTAAAATTTCAACAAAGTAATGGGGGATTCGGAGAGAGCGGTTCGTAAAATGGAACCATCTTTTAGAATGAGAAATGTTGGCTTTTTCTATTTTTTCAACGTGTATTTTACCGCGCTTTATGAGAAA